CTCTCTCTCTCTCTCTCTCTGTCTGTCTCATTTCCAAGTCTTAACACCTCCTAGAGAACTTTATTGTCCTCCTAGACAATGCATACAACAGCTTGGGCTCTCAGTTTACTTGACATGCCCAGTGCCAATGCTCTTCCCTTCTAATCGAATTCAGCAATCGGAAGCCGTGTCCTGGGGCCTCATCACACTGTCCCAGCTTTGAAACATTAAACAACCAGGCCTCGTTGTCAATCAGATCTTCCACTCTTTTCTTAGCAAACTCAGTGTTCTGGTCCCTCTATCCTAATCCATCCACCCTGTTATTCTGAATGTTGGATAGCCATTAATTAGAAACCTCCTTATAACAAGTTTAGTGGCAGTTTTTAAATAGCCCCTAATTAAATGACTTATGCATGTCCAGATTACAGAGTCTTCCCTTTTGGTCTTCACTTGCCTCTTCCACTAAATTGAGAATAAAAGATCTAATTTTAAACCTAAATATTTAACATCAACAAATATTTCTCTCTTACTATACAAGTCACCATGTTAGTAAAATACCCTTACTTCAATGCTTCAATTTATCTAGAAGCTAAACAAACAAAAAGCTTGGACACCCAAACTCATTCACAAAAGTGCACACTGATAATCAAAGTCCGTCACTTAAATGAGGGGGCACCATAAGTTCTTGACCCTCCCACAAACAGAGAAAACAGATTACATTCTGTTCAAAGGAACTTCCTTGTGTTTTGCTGAAAGATTCTTGCTCTTTGAAAATTAACAGTCCTGTATGATATGGTAACTTTAATTCGCTGAGATAGTTCAAGACCAACTCAGCTCCCTGGCCATTCTGATAAACCAGAGTTCATTGTTCTTGGTTTTAAAAAATTACAAGGATGTAGCTTATTATTTATTTTATTTTATGTAGTGTGTGAACTTACTATTCAGATTTAAGGAATAATATTCAAATTAATATTTTAAGCAAGGTTTTGGGGCTTATGCTCATGGACTATGACAACTAATCTATACCTTGTGGAATTTATCTGCATTTAATGGATTCTTTCGAAGATTAGGATGACTCAATCAACATTCTTTGAAAATATGTTTTGTACCATTCAAAAAAAATTTGGCCGGTGGGGTGTAGCTGGCCAGTACAGGGGTCAAAACCTGGCCCTTGGTGTTGTCACACCACACTCTAATCAACTGAGCTAAATGGACAACCCAGTTTTGGGCCATTTTATAATATTATCTCATTCCTTAATATTTGTATGTCTTCAGCTTCATTAACTATTGTACTTGTATTGACCTACCCAGTAGGGTACTGGTGTGCCTCTTAAATAAAATGGATATATGAAAACCCCACCACCTTTAATCCTGTCAGGCATGGATTACAAAAAACTATATATAGAGAAATTGTATATACAGAAAAATTATATGTATAGAAATCTATGAAGTAAATAAATTCAGCAAATAAATTCAGCCCAATAAATGACTCAAATACCTATCTGCTGAAAATCTAATTTCCCCATTTTCCCAATGAGCACATTTAGAGTCAGAGAAGAGATGATTTGCACATAATCACACAGATAGGAAGGGATGGAAATAAGACCCAGATATATGCCCCCTTACTCTAGGCCCAGTGCTCTTCTGGGAGAAGACACAGAAATGGGAGAGGAGCTTGTAATCCAGATGTGGTCAAGAAACATTAAATCATGCAGGAAATAAAGTCATAGATTACAAAGTATATCTAATGACATTCTTGATATTAGCAATGGATCCTTCTTAGGGTATTCTTTAAAGTCTTAAAATATGGTTTAATATACAGAAAATTAATATATAAAAAGTTTCTGCTATATTGAGTAACAGAATATATGTGTGGGAGGACTAATTATAGCTCAAAATTATGACCTGCAGAGGGGACACATTCAACATTGATTTCCATAATCTCTTCCCAACAACCCAGAGGATTTGTCTATTGCATAAATTTGCTAGGGCTGCTATAACAGAGTACCCCAGGCTGAGTGTCTTAAACAATAGAAATATATCGTCTCACAGTTCTGGATGTTAGTCCTAGATCAAGGTATCAGCAGGGCTGGTTCCTTCTGAGGGCTATGAGAGAGAATAAGGTCCATGCCCATCTCCCAGCTTCTGGGGCTGCTGGCTATTTCCGATACTCCTTGGCTTCTGCTGCATCACTGTGATCTCTGCCGTCATCTTCATGTGGCGTTCTCTCATGTGTATCTGTGTCCAAACCTCCCCCTTTTTAAAAGAGCACCAGTCTTATCATATTAGGGGCCCCATCCTACTCCAGTATGACCTCATCTTAATCAATTATATCTGCAACACCCTTACCTCCAATCATCACCACTTTTTGAGGTAATGGGGGTTAGAACTTCAACATCTGAAATTTGTGGGGGGCGGTAACATAACCCATAACATCTGTTTAACCCATAATCAACCTCCAATCATCACCACTTTTTGAGGTAATGGAGGTTAGAAGTTCAACATCTGAAATTTGTGGGGGGCGGTAACATAACCCATAACATCTGTTTAACCCATAATATCTGTGGAGAGTATTTGTCACATCAGAAAATAAAAGAAATAAAGGAGGGCTCAGCAGAGAGAAGATATATGATAAAATAACAAAGAAAATTCTATTTGTGTCATTAGAAAACGCTGAGTGGACTTTTGGCACTTAAGCGCTTCCTGAGCTAGATAAAGTGTTTTGTTTCCTCATTTATCAAGCACCTGTTAAGTGCCACACATTGCACCAGATTTGGGCTGTACAGTAGCACGTTTCTCCAGCTGGCTCTGGCTGCTGCTTATCACCAGGTATGACTGGTGATTCCACTAGGTGCCGTGCCTGCCCCTGGGGACTTCTGTCTTCTGCCAAGATTCATCATGGTTGAACCACATCATCCAAAGCTGTGACGGTTCGCAGCAGCGTAAGGCATGCTCGCTTCAGCTTTCTCTCCTGTTCTTTGTTGCACCCTCTTAGAGAGATGCCAAAGTGAAAGTCTCCAGAGTCCTGCCAGCTCTTCACTCACAGCTCTGTTCCACCTCCAAGCTTCTGCATGACAGTGGGCTAAGTGTCTGGAAGAAAAACAGTGCTACACACAGCACCACCTCCCTTTGGGTGACTAAGGCTTTGGTCCCGGCCCTTGCTTGCTTGACCGTCTTTCCCTAATGATAAATCCCCTCTGCTTCCCTCATCCTCTTATGCAATTAGACTCCTGGTGAGTCTACTCTAGAGTGCACCAGGCATGTTCAGTAGAGAACCACAGGTTGGACTTAATTTGTAAGCCTTCATTATACTGAAAAAACCTTCAAGTCCTTTTAAAGTCATTAAAAACTTTTTTTTTTCTGATGCTTCTTCATTTTGATGATGTGTGTTCTCTAATGTTGAGAGGCTACCATCCACAATAAAGACAGTTCATAATGAGGGAGGGAAGTTAATATCATGAAGAGAAATATTGTCCATTTCACTTCTCGTCTTTATTGCTCACTACTTGAGTTTTTATATAAATAATACAGGATGATATTATCTATACCTAAGCCTTCTTCTGACCAACTAAATATGAGATCATTTTCTCAATCTGTATGTGAAGTAAAAGTGTCATTGTTAAAAATGTTTTAAGCATAACAAGTACTTTATATTTTATAAAGGAAATAGGTCTTTGAATAAAAAAACGATGAGTTTCAACTTTTTGTAAAGATAGTTCATGAACCAGAACTTGAAGGGCATTTGAATTGAATCTTGGTTTCACTGACTAGTTTTTAACAGATATCTTGGTTGCAATTATCCAAAAGAACGTATAATATTGTAATGCTTTGAAAACCAAAAATGTTTGTTCTCATTTTATTATCAGTACTGTTAATGGTTCTTTAAAATCCAAAAGCCATTCAACATTCTTTCATGAAAGTGTATTTCTTAACTTTCAAAGAAAATCTTGTAATGATTTATGTTAAAAACCTAAAAGCCATCATAGTACTGAAGATAGACTTCAGACTGAGTCACAAAGCTCTCAGGAACTCCTCCCCAGCATTCTGACCCCCAGTGGGCAGTGATATCATAATGTCCTGGCCAGTCATAGGACCTGCTTGGCCACAGAAAGGACCTCTGAGGAAACACAGTAGATTACTGGATAAAACACACATCAATTTCCCAATGAATTTTATATTGTTTGTTTTTGTATCTGGAGTTTTTCCCTCAGAGATTAACACTACAAAGCCTACTATTGAAGGTGAGTATGTCACAGAAATATTCAATAAGAAGGATGACCCATAATCATGGAAAATTGGTATGTGGCAGTTTTCTACAGATGACATAAAGTTCATTGTCAGACACTACAAAGCCTACTATTGAAGGTGAGTATGTCACAGAAATATTCAATAAGAAGGATGAATCATAATCATGGAAAATTGGTATGTGGCAGTTTTCTACAGATGACATAAAGTTCATTGTCAGAGATGTGGTATAATTTAGATTTTTAAATCTCTGCCTCAAATTCTCCATGAAAAAAAAAAAATGCAGTTAGAAAGAGAAAGTAGTAAAAAAAAAAAAAAATGCAATCAACGTATTTCTGATCCAGGATGTCATATGTCGTACTTTTTTCAGCATTACCTGATGTGGTGCCTTTAAATGAAGAAAATAGAGAGGAAGAAGAACTGTATAGGGATGACTCTCACGATAAAGCTCCTGCTAATGGGAAAAGTGACCATTATTTTAAAGACACAAAACAATGTAAGTCTTTAAAGTTAATAGCAATATATGTACAAAAGCTGATTATATTGGCTTGATTTATCTTAACTCTCTCTTTTGAATTCCCATAATCATTTTATTTTCTACTTTCTAAATTCCAGTTTTCAATATAGACTTCTCAGTGTGTAAAATTGTTTCATACAACTTTTTTCATGAGATGTTATGTTTAACAAGGTTCTCTTGGTGACTGATTGCAACTACCACTGTTCCTTGTGGCATTGTGGCTATTTATTCACATTAGTAACAACTGACCTCATTCAATGGTGAGTTAACCAAAATGTATTTAGAGATGTGTGTCAGTTTCTGAAGGGTGCTGAAACAGAGCACCATGACTGGGTGGCTCAGAATGACAAGAAATTTTTTTCTCACAGTTCTGGAGGATGGATATCTGAAAGCAGTACTGGTCAACCAAGTAAAGGCTCTCACTACAGCCCCTGGGTGAGGACGCTTCCTGGAGTCTTCCAGCTTCTGGTAGACCCAGGTGTTCCTTGGCTGGTGGCAACATCACTCCAGTCCCTGCCTTCCTCTTCACATGGCCTCTCTCTCTGTATCTGTGTCCAAATTTCCCTCTTCTTGCAAGAATACCAGTCATAGCGGGTTAGGAACCCACGCTACCCCAGTATGACTCCATCTTAATTACATGTTCAATGACCCTATTTCCAAATAAGGTCACATTCTGAGGTACACAGAATTAGAATTTCAACATATCTTTTTAAATGGACACAATTCAACCTATAGCAAAGTCACTTCTGGATGCTTGGCAGATCTATTAAAATTCAGTGTATAACTCACTATTCCTCATATGGGCTTCCTTTCCATGTCCTTATAAGGTGTACCCTTCTAAATAGGGAGAAGTTCATAAGAAACTCTGATTAAAACTAAAACATCAGGGTTCAATTTAATTTTCCTGGAATCTTTATTACCATTAGTCAAAGAAAAATAGAAAAACAATAAAGATATATATACTCTCAAGTGCTTTGAAAATTATGCATAAGTTGTATTATTATTTTTTCTTTAGCGAATCAATATCCCCCTTTTGTAGGTGAAAGAAATTCCTGATGCTCAGAGAGGTTTCGTAGTTAACTTTGAAAATTATGCGTAAGTTGTATTATTATTTTTTCTTTAGCAAATCAATATCCCCCTTTTGTAGGTGAAAGAAATTCCTGATGCTCAGAGAGGTTTCGTAGTTACCAGGAAGCTGAGGCAGGAGGGTGGACTGCCTCTACTGTGTACAAAACAGTGCAGTACACACCATGTCCTTTTTAGAAGGTACTTCTATTGTGAGTTAAACAAAGGATCGATAAATCAAGAGCCCGATAAGTACTTTGAGTAAAGAAAAAAATCTCTTCGTTTTAAACATGCCTCTCCCTCCTCCTCCACACACACATAGTGCAGATAGGATCATACTAAAGAGTTGTTCTGTAAATTGCTTTTCTGGTGTAATAACTCTGTGGCTCTTTTCACATCTACCTCATTGTTTTCAATGGACATGTAGTATTCCGTAAAATGATCTTCTATAATGTGTCTGTTGTCATGTTAGAGAACATTTAGATTATGTGCGTTTTTTCCTTCGTGCATTCTTCTCTACACATTTGGGTGTATCTCTCTTCGGAGAAATACCAAATGCTGAAATTGTTGAATAAAGACTAAATCTTTTAAAATGTTAGTAAACACCACCAAATTACCCCCTAAAAAATTATAACTAATTTACACCTCCCAATAATGCTCCACGACCTCACCCACAATGAATATCATTAATCATAGTATTTTGTGAACATAATAAATTGTCATCGCTTTTTAAATTTGCACTCTCATTACTTGTGAAGTATTTTTCCATATATTTATTGGGTGTTTTTGTTTCCACTTCTGTGCCTTGCCTGTTCATATCTTTGTCCACTTTTCTATTAGGTTGTATTTTCATTTACATTCATATTTCCATTAAAAAGGGCTCTTTGGGCCGGCCCGGTGGCGCACTGGAGAGTGCGCCGCTTGGGAGCGTGGCAGCGCTCCCACCGAGGGTTCGGATCCCATGTGGAGACCGGTTCCCGCTCACTGGCTGAGTGTGGTGCGGGCGCAACACTGAGGGTTGCAATCCCATTGCCAGTCCCCGGTACGGGCGCGACACCGAGGGTTGCGATCCCGTTACCAGTCAGTAAAAAAAAAGACTAAAAGAAAAAAAATAATAATAATAAAATAAAATAAAAAGGGCTCTTTTTAAATAGTATATTAATCTTTTTCCTATGGTAAAAGTAATAAGCATTTTCTCCCAGGTTGTTGCTTACCTTTAAACCTGTTTTAAGTATTAAGTATTATAGAGAAAATGTCAAGTTTTATAAAATCAATTCTGTTGATTAATGTCTTTATAATTTCTGCATTTTGTGTCTTGCTTAGACAGGCCTTATCCAATACAAGATAGTAAATGATTTTCCTAATTTTTTCTAATAATTTTATATTTTTGTTTTTAACTCAAGTCTTAAATTCAATTATTTTTGTGCATGGCATGAAGGATAAGATGTTATATTTTTCAAGGAGGGTAGTCGATTGTCTAACACAGATTCTCTACTGGTGTGAAATTCTCATTTAATATAATTTAAATTCTCATATGCAATTGGGTCAATTGCTATGCTTTTTATTGTTATTTTGATCTGTTTGTTCATAGGAAAATATCAATGTTTTAATTTCTATATTTTCACAGCTCACAACATGAATGTTCAGCTGTGATTTCTTTTTATTTTTTCCATCAGTCTATCTCAGAAATTCCTCAAAAATGATGAAGCCTTAATGGTGCTATTTTTTTATATGTGTGTGTGTGCTGAAGGAAATGAATAAATATGTACATATTAAATACATACACACATTTAAGTGTGTATACATTTTCTGTCTTTCTTGAGATTTTGGAGAGAGGACATGTATGTATATTCAGTCTGTCATCTTGCTCCAATGTACTTTGACCCCTTGGTTGTGTGAATATGGACATTAGTTTTGAATTATAACCAACCCCACTGGTGACTCTTTTTTATTTTATTTTTTCCATGTTCTTTTTAAAATTATTTTTATTGAAACATAATTGATTGTACATATCTGTGGGATACAGCATTGAATATCAATACCTGTGTCCTACTGATTACTCTCAAGAGCAGGATTATTTATACGTATATGTAAATGTGAGTATATATATGGGAGACCTTGACTGTTACTGAACTATACGCTTCCTAAGCTGGAGTGCTCCATAGTCTAACAGGAGGTTCAAGAACAAATGAATACTTGATTTTTTGATAATGTCAATATAAGCAGTGATAATATTGC